TAAAAAGTAACTTGTCTGGGCGGCACGACTCTTCTGAAGGACATCTGCTCAGAAGGGCAAACCAATGCATGACGGAGGCTCTTAGCGGGCCGAGGAAGAGGCTGACGTGTACACCTGAAACTATCTTTGAGTCACCATACAGGGCCATCTACCGGGGATCACAGGGTTCGGATAAGCAAACGAAATTAAGCACAAGCTGAAATACTCCACTTACTGGAGGACTGTTTTTGTGCACAAGATAGTGGAGTAGTATACCCGGGACAAGAGCGGGGATTCATGGAAGCGGGCAATTGAAGCGACGCTGAAGCTGAGCTGCAGAGGCACTCCACAGCCAAATCCTGAACCTTAGGCCACGCACCGGGCAATGGGACAGTTGCCTCCTCCACCGGATATTCCAGATGATAAGATGAGTGGGCCTCAGAGCAGCTACGTGTAAGCAAAGTGAAGATGGCTGTGCGGACGAGGGCATCCCTAATAGTGCCAGAACTCTTAGACACCACCTGTTAGAACACCTGCATCATACACACACTAGGAAGAGAAGATTGCTGCATGCTGGACACTGCTCAACTAAGGTTCAAGCACAAGGACGGGTTTGTAGATGACATCAGTCAGAACTGCCGAGCCTGTCAGGTCATATACCGGGGAGCGACGAGAGGGACCACGCAGTCAACAAAAAAGTGGGAGCAGCCCAGGACTATTTTTTGGGAAGTAGATTTCTACAGAGGTCAAGCCTAAGAAATACAAGTACCCAATATTTACTGGTCATGTAATACGTTTTCCGATGGGTAGACATTCCACGAAGGACGAAAACAGCTTTGACACTAGTAGAAAATATTAGAAGAAATGTCCCAGTATGACTGCGGAAGGATAGATCAAATAATGTCATGCGTTGTCCTGTCAGGTTAGTTCAAAGGCGTGCCAGGCTATGGGGATAATTGGAATTACAATTGTGGCAACTATATCAGAGCTTCTAGGCAGGAAGAGCGAATGAATAGAACAATAAAGGGAGCCCTGACTAAATTGGCCCTGGAGACTGGCGGACTGGTGACCTCCTTCCTCTTCGACCCTGTTCCGGCCTAGAACACCTTATCACTTGGGTTTAACTTTTGAAATCATGTACGACCTCTGTAGTTTCTAGATAGCCCTGAGTCTTTCGGGACATCCAAGAAGTGTTCAAGCGTGCAGGTCTGCAAAATTCCATCAGACTTGCGGCCTGTGTATCAGCGCTGAGGGGAGGGGCGAACACCCGTTTCACAACTAGCGGGGATGGATGTCGGGAAATGCATAACACGACGCCTCGAGCTGAGGTGCGAGGCCCTACTAATTATTCTTGTTACTCCCATGCTCTTAAGGTCGATAGAATAGTATTGATGGACTAACATCCACGTGAGACCTGTAATAAAAAGAACCAGAGCGGTGACGTGGAAATCGACTCGCCAAAGACCTGAGCAACATTTGAGACCAGGCACGACCGTTGGCAGCAGCCCAGACTGCTACACCCAGACTTGGACTGGGGTTTGGCAGTCTAAAGATGACTGGGTGACAAACCTGGACGGGTCGCGTGGGGTTCGTTTGTGAAGGGCAGAGAAGGGCCGAGATGTAGCAGAGTTGTAGCAAAGATGGCTTCAATTGTCGCGAATTGGAATTTATTGGTGGGGCAATGAGCTACACTGCAACTTTGCTTCCTGGTCATATGTCTTGCTTACACGGCTGTACTGGGAAATTATGGGATGAGGTCATTGGAAGCACGGGCGACTGGCATGGCAATAGAAGGCAACCAAGCTGCCATTTTCAAAAGGCAGTATCGGGCAACCATCTTTAAAGGTCAACACGCATGATCTATGGTGTCACCTTGTGCGCAGCTTGTGCCCATAAGGGAAAAAGGCCATGCGTTGTTCTGTCGGGTTCCTTGCTGCGAGAGTGGCCCTGCGTTTGGTGTTGGGTTGGACTGGCTAGCAGAAATAAACTCCTCTTTGTGATATGCAAAAAGAATAAAATATAAACAAAAAGTGCACATTGAGAGAAGTGGCACTTGCATCATTGTAGTCACAAAGATAGGGTTGGTATAAACCCAACTCTTTCACCACTGCCAAGATCCATCAGAGCCCATGTTGCTTAGATAAGAATACAGGTCCTTTTCATTATGTTCGGTGACATAGCCAGGAAGAACAGACAAATCACACATGATCTCACTTATAGATGGAAATTAAAAAGATGAACTCATAGAAAGAGTAGTAGGTGGTGGTTATCAGATGCAGCGGTGAGCAGGTAGATATGGGAGGGAGACGTTAGTCATTAGGGTACAAAGTTCATTAGAACAGAAGGAATATGTTTTTTGGTTGTTCTTTTTTTGAGATACGGGTCTCTCCTCAGTATGCTGCCGCTCAGCAGACGCAATGACACCCACAGCTCCCTGCAACTCAACACTCTGGTTCAAGCATTCGTCTCCACTTCAGCCTCCCAAGAGCTAGGACTACAGTGTGTGTCATCATTCCCTGGCTAATTTTTCTATTTTTTGTAAAGACAGGGTCTCGCTATGTTGCTCAGGCTGGTCTGGAACTCCTAACCTCAAGTGATCCTACCTCACTGGCCTCTTAAAGTGCTAGGATCATAGGTGTGAGTCACTGCACCTGGCCTAGGAATAATTTTTGAGATCTGCACAGCATGGTGACTATAGTTAACAATAACGTATCATATATTCAAAATGCTAATAAGTAATCCCAAATGCTCCTCCACAAATATGAAGATTATATATGTTAATTAGCTTAGTTTACTCATTCTACAATGTAATACATACATCAAAATATTACACTGCACCCCATAAAAATATACAATTATTATTTGTCAACTAAAGAAAAGTGATATAGATCCGTTAACCTGGCAGCCTGCTTCCTACAGTGATTTTTGTTTAGTTAGTTCTAAAGTAAATGACAGTCTTCCCAAACATAGGGTGGAGAAATATAATGCTTTACACTTAGAAGAAAGGAAATTCTAATAAAAACATTTAAATCATAGCTAAATTAGATGGCAAGGTTACCCATATGCCCGAGAGGTTAATACTCCTCTTCCTTAATGTCAAAAATTTGATTTAATGGCTACTCACTATAATTAGATTATATAGACAAAACTAACTATTAATATATCAACCAGTTACAACTGTAACTATTATATTTTAACATTAGTTACTAAATTACCCAGCTTTTACTACTTTAAAACCAAATGGGGGCCGGGAGTGGTGGCTCACGCCTGTAATCCTAGCACTTCGGTGCCAGGCCAAGAGGTAGCGCGATCAACTTGAGCTCAGGAGTTCAAGACCAATCTGAGCAAGACGAGACCGTGTCTCTAACTAAATAGAAAGAAATTAGCCAACTAAATACATAGACAAACAATTAGCCAGGCACTGGTTGGCCACATGCCTGTAGTCCAGCGTACTCGGGAGGCTGAAGCAGATGATGACTTGAGCCCAGAAGTTTGAGGTTGCGGATGAGCTGGCTGATGCCATAGCACGCTAGCCTAGCAACAGAGTAAGACTCTGTCTCAAAAAAAAAAAACAACCAAATGGGGTAGAAAATGGCTATCTTGAGATCTATTCCTGAAATCTCTGTTCATAGTCTTCTCCCAAATATTACCTCAAAGAACAGAAACAACAAAAATAAATAAATGGGCCAGGCACGGTGGCTCATGCCTATAATTCTAGCACTCTGGGAGGCTGAGGCAGGAGGATTGCCTGAGCTCAGGAGTTTGAGACCAGCCTGAGCAAGAGCAAGACCATCCTCTTATAAAATAGAAGAAATTAGCAAACTAAATAGAAAAATTAGCCAGGCACGGTGGCACATGCCTGTAGTCTCAGCTACTTGGGAGGCTGAGACTGGAGGATCCACTGAGCTCAGGAGTTTTGAGGTTGCTGTGAGCTAGGCTGACGCCTGGGCATTCTAGCCTGGGCAAGAGAGTGAGACTCTGTCTCATTCATTCATAAATAAATAGATAAATAGGACCTGATCAACTTAAAAAGCTTCTGCACAGCCAAGGAAACTATCTTGAGAGTAAACAGACAACTTATAGAATGGGAGAAAAACTTTGCATGCTACACATCTGATAAAAGGTTGATGACTAGAATCTATATAGAACTTGGGAAAATCAGCAAGAAAAAAATCAAACCTTATCAAAAAGTGGGCAAAAGACATGAACAGAAACTTTTCAACAAGATAGATTAATGGCTAACAAACATATGAAAAAATGCTCAACATCTCTAACCATCAGGGAAATGCAAATCAAAACACAATGAGATATCACTTATCTCCAGTGAGAATGGCCTTTATCAAAAAGTCCCAAGGATGCAGAGAGATAAGAACACTCATAGACTGCTGGTGTGACTGCAAACTGGTACAACCTCTGTGGAAAGCAATATGAGATACCTCAAAAGAACAAGTAGAACTACCATTTGATCCAGCAATCCCATTACTGGGCATCTACCCAAAAGAACAAAACATTCTATAAAAAAGAAATCTGCACTCGAATGTTTATAGCAGCACAATTCACAATTGTAAAGATGTGGAAACAACCCAAGAGCCTGCATCAATACATCAGTGGATTAAGAAAATGTGGTATATGTATACCATGGAGTTCTACTCAGCCACAAAAAACAATGGTGATATAGCACCTCTTGTATTATCCTGGATACAGCTGGAGCACATTCTACTAAGTATCCAAGAATGGGAAAATAAGCACCACATGTATTCACCATCAAATTGGTATTAACTGATTAACACTTAAATGCACATATATAATAACATTCATTGGATGTCAGGCAGGTTGAGAGGGGAGAGGAGATGGCTATATATATATATATATATATTAGTAATGCACTTAATGGGTGCAGTGTGTACCATCTGGGGGATGGACAAGCTTAAAGCTCTGACTTGGGTGGGCAAGGCAATATACATAACCTAAACATTGTACCCCATAATGCTGAATATAAAAAAAATTAAAAAATATTTACCCAAAGAGTGCCAAGTTTTTATCAAAATATTCATCTCCTTCTTCATAATTTGAATTATTGAGATAAGCATTTCGAGCTTTCTTATGCCCATCATCTGGGAAAAAAAAGTAAACCCAGTTAGTTTCTCATTGATATTGAAGAAACATCAGCACCAAATAACTACATGTTTATTCTATATTAATATAACCCATTTTCATATTCAAATTTAATCATAGAGTAGAACTCAATCAGCATTGCTTGGAGAATGTGACCCTCTCTCCAGCAGGAGCAAAACCAAATCTTTATGAAGTAAATGTGGCCCAGACTCCACCACTATACAATATATATATAATATATACATGTAACAGAATTCAACTTGTATATACTAAATCTATTATAAATAAATAAATAACATTAAAGAATGAGAAAGGTAAACAAAAAAACAACAAAAAAAGTAAACATGGGTCATTCCTTTCCTTACCAATACAAAGACTTTGGGAGACACTATTCTTTTAGAATTCCAGCCTACAGAAATCATACTCTTAAAGTTACCCAAATCTAGGAGGAAAAAAATAGAATATTTACTGAGTATTTACTTAATATATAATACTGTACTAGACATGGGCTACTCTACACACTGCTGCTGCTGCTAACATTAGTAAAAGCTCTCTGCCTCCAGAGCTGTCCAACCCTTTGTAAATTACATTAGGTCATTTAATCAAGCATTATTTTTATTTTTTTCGTTCTTTTTTTTTTGTTTTTACTTCGGCTCTGGGCAGTTAAAGCATTATTTTTATACAAACCCTTCCATTGTTTTTTTATGTTAAAAGAGGCACCCAACAGGAATTTGGTGAACAAAACATTAAGGAAAAAAAAAAAAAAGACTATGTCCCTAAGACAGCAGAGTTTGTGTTATCTGAGCAATTCCTTGACTATGTAAAAATTATATAATTACACAGTCTGATAGGGGAGAAGAGAGAAATAAAGAGTTATATAAATGCTACTAAAAACTAAGATTTTTAATACTGAGGAAAAACACAACCAATATAAAAACTAGAGAAAAAAACCCCACAATTTTAAATATACAAGATGGGCCTGGAAAACAGCCAAAAAACTGTCAGAATTACTGGGTTATATCAAAGGACACAAGGGCCAACCTGAAGAGGTTCCCAATGGCCAAAATGGGATAATATGAGCACTAAAAATAAATAATGCAATTAAAATGCAAATTCATGAAATACCCAAAATGGTATTTTTAAAAATTAGTCAACCTTTGCAGGGTTGTTAAGGAAACAGCACATAACTCTGAAAAACAATAAATGAAAAGAATCAAGCAATTATCCCCGTTTTTCTTTCTTTTTTTTTTTTTTTAGGCAATTACAAGATGAACATCCCCGTTTTTCTTATGCAAACTTATTTCAGGGTAACCAATACTTAAAAGAAAATTTTTTCTTTAAACAAGCATTCTAATTTATTAATAACAGATGGAATGATAGAATTAGGGAAAAAACACATCAATTAGCAACACTTAATGAAATAATAAATCTAGGCAATTATCATCAATGGTTGTTAAAACCATTAGGTGAAAGGCCAAGGCACAACCTATTATAATGGATGGATCAGGGTGATCTGGAACACACTGACCAACCTAAACATCATAAAAAATGGGACAACACAATCTCCTGCCATAATACAATAAAGTATAACCTATGATGTATTCTTACCAAAAGAATGGAAACTGAATCTAATCAACCCTTTAAATCTAACTAGATCACAGAAAACACACAGGAAGACCATGCGAAACATCACAAGAATATAATCACCAAACAGAATGTAAAACAATCTGATTTCTTCAACTAGTAAAAGGGAGAAACTAGAAAGGTGAACTTTTATAGATAAAACAGACTTAAAGAGACATAACTAGGCTGGTGTGGTGGCTCATGTCTGTAATCCCAACACTTTGGAAGAACGAGCGGGGAAGGACTGCTTGAGATCAGAAAATTGAGATCAGCCTGGGCAACATATCGAGACTCTTTTTCTAAATGGAAAAAAAATGAGGTAGGGGCTTGAAAACAAATTAGCAACACTGTTGAAGCTGGGTGATGAGTTCATGGAGGTTCATTATGCTACTCTAACTTTTCTGTACCTTTGATGTTTTCCATAATAAAAGTTATAAAAAGAAAGGAAAATATATTTTCCTCTAATTTTCTGAAGAAAATTCTATAGAGTATGAGATAGCTTAAAATTATCACCACTTCTGAGTAATACATTTATTCAATTAATTCAACAAATGTTATTTTTTTAAATTTTTTAATTTTTATTATTTTGAGACAGAGTCTTGCTGTGTTGCCTAGGCTAGAGTGAGTGCCGTGGCGTCAGCCTAACTCACAGCAACCTCAAACTCCTGGGCTCAAGTGATCCTGCTGCCTCAGCCTCCCAAGTAGCTGGGACTACAGGCATGCGCCACCATGCCCAGCTAATTTTTTCTATATACACTAGTTGGCCAATTAATTTCTTTCTATTTATAGGAGAGACAGGGTCTCGCTCTTGCTCAGGCTGGTTTTGAACTCCTGACCTTGAGCCATCTGCCCACCTCGGCCTCCCAGAATGCTAGGATTACAGGCGTGAGCCACCGTACCAGGCCACAAATGTTATTAAATTCCTGGAATGTGCTGGTTACTGTTCTAGGTCCTGGGAGTATAGCAGTGGACAAGGCAGTTACAGACTCTGCTTTCTTTTACTGTTTGTATACTGAAGTCACAGAAGATAGAAAATAAGTGAAAAAAAAATGAAAAAGACATTTCAAGAAATGATAAGTTCAATAAAGAAAATGAAACAAGTACTGGGATAAAGTGTGGATGGGGAGGGAAAGGACCACTTCAGATAAGATCACTGGTGTGCTGATAAGCAGGCTCTCCACAATTAAAACAAACCAACCTCTGATTTATAGTATCTGACAATTGACATGGTTTGGGGAAGAGACGCACACAATTGGCTCTCAGGAGCTAATAAGAGCTGGCTGCAGCACACTTCTGGCATAGGACGGTAAGGAAAAGCCTGCATTTCAGGCAGAGGGAATATAGCAATTCTAAAAGGTCCTAAAGCAGAAACACTTTTAGTGGATTCATAAAGCAGAAAGGACAATATTGGCTGAAGTAGAGTGAGGAAAGGAGAGAGTATTTAAAAAGATAGAAAGGAGCCAGACCGTGTCGTTATGGAGCAAATGGAGTTCTTCCAAATCCATTTATTGAATAGTCCCTCCTTTCTGACTGACCTAGAAAATAACAACCCAATGAGGTTGGAGCACAGAAGAGAGTGATGTAAGTGTGTGCTAATGTTCTTTATTTGGGGAGCAGGGATAATAATATAGATAGCATTTTTTAAAAAATAAGATGAGATTATAAAGCAGCAGGAAAAGTGGGACAAACTGAAATAATAATTTAGGATGGCAGAATGGTTCAAACAGATCAATAATACCAATAATTTCAATAATGTAAATGGCCAAATTCACTAAAGACTGACAGACTAGATTAAACAACAAAATCTACACATACACTATTTATAAAAGACATAATAAGCCGAATGCAGTGGTCAGTGTCTATAATCCTAGCACTCTGGGGGACCAAGGTGGAAGGATCACTTGAAGCCAGAAGCTTAAGACCAGCCTAGGCAATATAGTGAGACCATGTCTCTACAGAAAAAAAATTTTTTAATTAGCCAGCTGTAGTGGCATGCACCTGTAGTCCCTTGATCCCTTCAGCCCAGGACTTTGAAGCTGCAGTGAGCTATGACTGCCACTGCACTCCAGCCTGGCAACAGAGTAAGATCCTGTTCTCTTATAAAAATAAAGAGACATTTCATTTTCACTGTAGTTAGCTAAATAAAAAAAAGAAAAAAGAAAAAAAGAAAAAAATAATAGAGACATGATATAAGGACATGTAAAAGCTGAAAGTTAAGGAAAGAGATATATTAAATATTAACCAAAAGAAAGCTGATATAATTTTATTAATGTCAGGTAAATTTGGCCAGATGTGGTGGCTCATACCTGTATCCTAGCAATCTGGGAAACCAAGGTGAGAGGATCGCTTGAGCTCAGGAGTTCAAGACCAGTCTGAGCAAAAGCAAGACCTCATCTCTACAAAAAATAGAAAAATTAGACTCTGTCTCCAAAGGAAAAAATAAAGAATATGAAATACATTTGTTTTTAAGAGAAAAATTTTATTAGGGGTTAGAAGGTAACTGCATAATAATGAAAGGTTTAATTCACCAAGAAGGTATAACGATTTTAAGCATACACCTATTGTTCTGTACTTCTGCTTAACAAATTACCCCCAAATTTATTGGCTTAAACAATACATATTTACCATCTCATAATTTGCTTGTGAATTTTTAAAAATCTGACAATCTGTCTTTTTAACTGTCTAGTCCATCAAACTTGGCAATGAATATATCTGAAGTGGGTTCTACCATATTTTTATTTGTTTTTCTCTATGACTCATTCTCATTTTCTGTCTTTGTTTCTCTCTCTTTGGAACTTTTTGAGTTTTTTTCCCAAAATCCCATTTTTTTTCTCTAGCTTCCATACTCTATTTCTATTCTTTGAGCAATTACCCTTGAAATTTTACTATATAAGTTACTTAAAACAAATTGTTACATAAGTCTAAACAATAGCTTGATATCCTCCCAAACAACATAAAGACTTGTGAATATTTCAGTTCCAAATCTCTCCTCCTGCTTACCTATTATTGCTGTCCAATATTTCCAGTAGTCTTTTTTTTAACTCCACAAATAAGATACTAAAGATACTTATTTTATAGAGAAAACATTTATTTGGATTAAGGTACAAGTTTATCATTTCATTTATTCAATACTTTTTCTTGTACTTCAGACTATTAGTCTTTTTGAATCATTTTACTTTTTCTTAAGGTACAGTTCTTAAAATTCCTTTAGAAGGTTTCTCAAACTCAGCACTATGAAATTTTGAACCAGGGCTGGGCGCTGTGGCTCACGCCTATAATCCTAGCACTCTGGGAGGCTGAGGCAGGCAGAACACTCAAGGTCAGGAGTTTGAAACCAGCCTGAGCAAGAGCGAGACCCCGTCTCTACTATAAATAG